TCGATGAGTAACAATTAACGAAATAGGTGTAACATAAATAGAGAGGTTTGTCATTGAAAATTATCGATAATAGAACAGATAAAGGCGGCGGTACACGGCAAAAGCGATCAGTCGTCGAGGAATCGGCGTTGCACGCGCACGTCGTATCCGTTCTTTGAATTTCAATGCTCGCCACTTTCGAAGGATTCGGGTGAAAGAGTTTCGTTTTCCATCCATCCCGAAATTCGACGCGGTGCCTATACCCTACGTGGTAAATATTCACAGACCATTTTTTCATTTATCGTGATAAATCCGTTTCTAAACAAACGTTGTCGCATCTACCAAGATAACGATTGCCACCGTGTTTCTTCCATTAAAACGATAACGGAACAGGTAAACACGTTGAACGAAACGAGCTTTCGAAGAAAATGTTTTTCAATCACCGTCGAATTCTGTATATTTCCACGAATATTATATTTACAAGTAATTTTATGCGAGCATCTCGCGTTTATATCTCGCTTTATCTATCTTCGAAGTAATTAATCAACTTCCTCCCCCCAAAAAAAGATAAATCCTCGCAACTCGTTTTCTCGTTTATTTCATAATTTACTTTTCAATCTCGAATAAATACGAATTCTTCTTAAATTCTCCTCTATCCGCGTAAATATCAAAAACATCTGCAGGAAGATCCCGTTGATAAAACGTCTCGTTGCATCAACCTTTGTACGCAACGAGCCGCAAGTTTCTATTTTCTTCTTCTTCGAAGAAATAATCCTAGCTCGTGAGAGGAATACTCGTCCGAGGAGGATCCGCTATGAGATTCTTCCACTCTCGAGAAAATTGGAAAAACTCTCTCTCTCTCTCTCTCTCTCTCGTAAACGAGAACGTAATTGGAATAAATATATTTCATAGAGTTCGGTTTCGTACGCGTCTCTTATCACGAGGATCGAATTTTCTTGTGCGTGGAGGACGTGACGCCTCATTAAAAATTAACGAGGCTGGCTGGCTAGCGAGGAAAGGAGGAAATGCGTTGTTACGTGTTCGCCTCTAAGATCCTCTATTCCGCCCGGTCCTCTACGACCTCGAGCCGATCGCTGCTTGAATCCTAATTGTTTCTTGGGAACGGTGGCTTGGTAAATGTATCACGTACACGCGGCGCAAAGTTTCCAGGCCAAGGATTAAAAAGGGCCTAGGAGAATTTCGAAATCCACCTAACCGTGAACTCTTCCCAACTCGTTATTTAACGATCTAAATTTTTTTAATTATCAATATCTTCAATATTATTGGGTCAATCAGGTCATCGATAATTTCTGTATCTTTGGAAATAATAATTGATTCACTTATAAAACTTATAAAAATATACAAACACGTTCGAATATCTGTGCATGTTGGATAAAAAAATATCGCGCGTTAAATTAATTTTCTCGAGAGAATTAAAATCAATTTCCTCTCTTAAAGTGATAAAAAAAAAAATCGTGGAATAAAATTTCTCGAACGATGAAAAAAACAAAGGCAAAGAATCTAGCGGATCTAAATCATTCTCCCTACAATAGACGACACGTGTTATCGTGGAAAATGGCTAAATATACTATATGAAAACGAAATCATCGGGGTTGCACAGTCACCAGATGAATTCCCGAGAGGCGGGCAAATCATCGTCCGAGAATCTTGTAGCGGAAACGATAGTAAAAATATCCGCCCGTGGCTGGACGATAGGCTCGAACAATTAAAGTTCACGGAGTCGACGTGGAGGACGCGTTGCCGTCAGAGCAGAAATCCGGGATACGGAATTAGCCACGCGAGGGGACACCGTGGAAATTACGCTTAAAGCTCTTCTCGGCCACCAACGCGGTTCCTCCTCGATCCACTCGTTTCCATCCCCTTTACTTATCAGTGGATGGGCGAATACGAATTAAAAATATGCGTGTATCTTTATTTATCAACGAACAAAGTATCAGTAAAACTTTGAGAGATGTGTTTATTATTTTGTGTGATATCTCGTATCAGCAATTATGTACGAATTCGCGTTAAAGTAACTTTATAGAATTATTATTTAATAATTCTTTATTTTTTCTTTCTTTTGTCAAATAGGATAGTTTTTGAAAATAAAAATAAATAACTGTATATTACGAATACAAGTCACGTTATACGGGAGTCTATTGTAGTTGCATACTTATCGTTCTCGTGTTATTTGAAGAATTCCTCTTAGAATCGTTTCCTCCTAATATTCAAAATATTCTGCGATATTTCTTTCGATGGAAGTTGGTCTTTTGAAGTTGCAACGTATTGCAACGTATTCGCGTGATATATCCTCGATATATTAGTTCATCAGTCAACGCGAAAAGTTGAATGAAAAGTTTCTTCATCGAAGTTTAAGAGAAACTTGCTGAAGATATATACTATTAGAACGAATGTTTTAATGCCAGTAAAGCTCGTCATCTCACGGTATTCTTCTTTCCTTTCCTTTCCTTTTTTCCCCCCTTTCTTTCCAGTCAATTATAGCGGCCAAGCTATAGAAGAATTCCTCGAAACTAATTGATTCTGCGCGCACACCACCCCTTGGATTCCTTGCCGCTTTATTAGAAACGAGCCCTGAGAGATTTTTCGCTGGCGGGAGAAAGAAGAAGAGGAGGAGGAAGAAGAAAGGAAAGGGTCGAAGGTCCTTGGAAGAGGGGGGGAGGGAATTTTAACGTTTGACGCGATTCTGCCGATAGATAATGGGTGGAGCAACAACAGCCGCGTTAATGAAATTACGCGATACCGAGAATCTTCGTTCCGGGGAACAATGGTATCGCCTCTTCGTGATAAATCTAAACGCTTTGCAGTAAGACGGACCGTTCGTTCAAACAATAAAAGGGGGCGTAAATATTAATTTTTCTCGAGTAATTTTCCCCCATCGATTCGAAATCATTCCTGAAATTATAATTTTTCAACGTGATTTAATTCGTTGAGTTGTTGCTCCAGGGGATGATCGATCGATTTTGGAATGGGGAGGGAGGAGAATCGATTGTCGAGAGAATTAACCAAGGTTTCGCTCTTTTTGGTTTCAGAATGGTGAGGATGCCAGGAGATTGTGAGGAACAGTGGTGAAGGATAACATCGAAAAGAGTTGGTGGAAAAATGGCTTTGACCGTCGTACCCTCGGCCCGCGTTTTCAATGGAAACGGTAATTAACAATATAATAATTGTCTTTAATAATAATAATAATAATAATAATAATAATCACCAAATAATCTATCTGAAAAAAACATTTCGTATTTATTTTGAAAATCGCACGATGGAAAGAAATTTATGATCTGTATGATTGCGATTAATCAAAGATAAAACGGCGACCCGTTACTTTCTACTATCGCGTCGTTATAAATAGGCGCAATAAAATCTTTGAATCACAGAACCTTGAACTTTGAGAAAAAACAAACAAATCGTTCGATTAAACGGTTGGAGATTTTCTTTAAACAAAGATTTCTTATACATACATACACCGTTTCAATTTAATTGGATAATTATAAAAAAAAAAAAAAAAAAAA